ACCCACACCCCACACCCACCCAGACCCACACCCACACCCGCAAATACTCTGAAACCTATAGAATCATGTTGATTCCTGAATGTCATTATGTTTCACTCCAATAATGTAACATATCCCTTAATAAGTTACTAGTAACTATTCGGTCTTTAAATCAGACATAAAGAAAAAAGTGATAGTTTGCAAAACCAATTTTTCTTATACTTTACAGTATTCTATATCCTCTGATAATACTCTGAAGTTCAATCATTTACCTTTTTTTCGGCCATTTTCAAAAAAAAAACGGTACAGAGACTTCAGAATCACCTATATATGAGTGAATTGCAACGTTATTATACCTTTGCTTTTTTAGTGTATTTTCATTATAACTCTGGCTGTTGTAAACCAAATTTCAAATTTTTTTATTTTATTTTACTCCTTTCACTTCGTCTTACTACCACAGAAAATTTCAGGTCAGTGGCTGATTGCTTCCTTGAGCTAAACGTATCTTAAGGCAAAAAAATACATTTTTTCAATTAGTTGTTCCAGGAAAAATAGAATTTTTGGGAAAGGAAAGGAAAGAAAGAAAAATGTAAATAAGCCATTTTGTAGAGCACGTGAGGAATTATCAAAGCATATATTTCATTTCTACATTTTCTCCCTTTTTCCTACTCATTTGTCTTCAAAACTATATTACAGTCATTTTCTTGATTTTTTGTAGAGTAACACAAAACGGTAAGTAGCGATCGGTGTACGATAAAAAAAAGACTCAGTCCATATCTAAAAAGAAAGACCTTGATTTTTGCTACAAAACGAACAAAAAAAATTGATAACTTTTTCTTCTCGTTTTTGAGAAACAGGAAACTACTTTTTGAAAAATTCCGTTTACACTCATCGTGTAGAGTAACATTTTCAAACTTCTTTCGGTCATAACTCGACAAATACTAACGCGACTTCGCTGAAACTTTTTCTCAATGAATGATATTTGTTTTGGTATTACAGATAAAATTTTCAGCGTTATACGACCCCTCCTTCTAGCAAAACTTTACATGATACTAGAAAATGTAGAGTAACATTTTTTTAAGAAAAAATGTAGAGTAACATTTTTTCGAGCTTTGATCACTCAAATATACATTTATTATACACCGCTAGACTCGACTTGAAGTGGCGAGTAAAACTAGGCACATTAAAGTCCTTCCAAAAGTAGCTAAAAACCATGAGAAAAGTCCCAATGAAAAAAACTGTCTTTCTGCTCTGAAGTGATAAAAAAAAATTTCTTACTTAAAAGCGTCTTGTTTAGAATTGAATGTCTTTCTAAAGTGCTACTAACTGTTATTATCTTCTGAATTATTATATAGGTGTACTTTTCGTGAAAGTGTGTTAATCGATATTAAACGAGAACAGAAGTAGAAAAAAAATATTCATTGATTTTTCAACGTGTAAATGGGACTGGAATGCGAAGTAGAGAGCTTTAAATGATACTGGTGAATCTGATAGACAAAAAAATGAGTGATAAATACACTAAAATACGTTTTCACTTGCTTGTTTCGTCGAAAACCGTTTTTCATACGGTTTTGGTGGCGGAAATAGGGTTTCTAGAGATTCAAGTGAAGTTAAAATGGATCAAACATCATCTACCTAGATAGAGCTCGACGAGATCTATCGATCGGTATGTAATAAGTCTTCTTTGGGATAAATGCTAGAGACTTTATCAAATAAATGCTTAGGGACGAAAATTCGAACTTCCTGCTTAAATATTTCGGTTGCCTTAGCTCGGGTAGTTGGGAAAATTTTACCAAATACTCAGTAAAGGATGGCGAACAAAATGCACTATCCAGATTTTCTATCAACTGACTTTTGTTTTTTTTTTATCAACGGTATAGTGAAGTTGCAATTGACTCATATATATATATATATATATAATCTTTTTAAATTCCTACTAGTTAATGCGTGAAGATGACACTTTCAATTGTCGAAAACTCGAAATAAAGACTGATCTTTGATGAAAATTAAAAGACATTTTTTTGTTGCAGTACTATACTCAATCACTTCAAATATCTTCTGAACTGTAGAATCACCAAATGTTTTTTGTGTAAAATATTCAAAATACTGATTCCACAACTTAAGTGATAAAAAGGAGGAATAGGAGGAGAAGGAGGAGGTTTCACATGCCAGATATAAGATGATAAATAACAATAATCAAACTATTTTTTATATCGAATTGATTAAAGTTACAGTTTTTATCATGGAAGATCAAACTAAATAAGGAACTAGCCCTTTTTTATTATTTTTTTGGGAGAACTACCAAATCATATCACTTATATATGCAAAAATGAATTCATGAATATTTATTTCTTGTAAATTTTATCAAAAGTTTTTACAAAAGATCGTGTATATTTGTCTCATCTGTGATATCTTACGATTTATGAGGAGATTCAAATCATGTCCTATTGAATTCAATGCTAATAAAGGAAAAATATTTTTATTCTGATTCCTTCCTTCTAATGTGAACATATATACATGTTAGTCTGAGATTGATTGTTTTTCAACGCCCTCTTTTCTAATGTAGAGACTAACTGTAATCTGTATATGTAATGGTTTTTTTGTGCATGTAGCTCAAAGTGTATGTAGATTATCTCAATCCATTTCTCTCTACCTTTTTGTTCATCTTGTTTACAACAGACTAGATGAATCAAATAAAAGTGAATTAAGGAATAAGATTGGTGTTGATAGCAACACCAATCGTAGTCTTTAAATGCACCTATAAATGGTCTAGTCTGTTACCGACCTAAATTAATCGTTCTATTGTTACTTCCACTCGCTGTTGCCTTTTTTGTTCTATTAGATTGTTTTTTGAAATAAAAACTATGGTTAATAGTGACAATCCTCCACAAATTCATGTTCCAATCGATAATATTAAAGTTCAAGCAACTTTACGTCAACTAGAACAACCTATCTGTAAGAAAAAATTTATATAATTTATACAATAATATTATTATTTCTTGGTTTTTTCATACATATCAAACCTGAAGGTTGAATTCAACTATTCAATTATTGAATAGCTGAAGTTCAAATATTCAACTATTCATCGCAGCTGGTGCGGGTGTCAAGAAAGGACTTGCGGAGTAGAAACCATTGAATCGTTGAAGTTCAACTATTCGAAATAATTGAATGCTTGAATGGCTAGACTTCAATCATTCAATAATTGAATGGTTGAAATAGCCTTTCAATAGTTGGATTCAACTTTCAATTTTGACACTAATGGGTTTTTTTAGGCTTATTTGGAGAAGGTTCCGCCGAACGACGTAAACGTCTTCAAAACCTAATATCATCTTTATCTGATGATGAAATTACAAAGATATTACGTGAAAATGAAGAAGAAGACGATGAAAAAGTTGAAAATACAAAACAAGTAAAAATAAAATATTTTTTATTTTTCTTTTTTATTGATTCTTTTGCTTTTAACTTTCTTAAGGAAATAACATGGTATCATGAAGGATCTGATCAATTACAAACAGCACGATATTGGATTACACAATATTCTTTACTAAGGTAAAACATCTATATTTACATATAAATATTATTTTAAATTATATTCTAGAGCCAAAGAACGTATTGAAAAATTAAAAGACTATGTTGCTATACCTGAAGTACATCGAACAGCACAGATTCAAGATTTATATCGTCAATTACGAGTAAATTTTTATTTTTTATTCGTCTCTTTATTTTAATCATCTTTTCTAGACCACAGCATTACATTGCAGTCAATTGGCTGATAATCGTCCTTTATCATATTGTGAATTTAGTCCAAATGATCAAATGATTGCTGTTTCTTCTTGGTATTTAAATTTTGTTTTCCGAATTTACATTGTTTTTTTTTTTTTTGAGAAAACCTATCGAATGTAGATTTTTAATTGAAGTTTTTTAAGTAGAAAAACGAATGTAAGAATATACATAGTTTAGAAGCAAACATATAAAGAATGTTTAAAGCTTTCCGAAATCAAACATCGATAAGGTGTTTTGCAAAAGCCGGAATAAATACAGTGCGTCCTTTTTAACGACTACAATAATATTTCGTAAGAGTTGAGGATAGAAGTTATGAGATTGTTGGCTTTCTGACTTTACACAATAGCCAATATAAATATTTGAGAATAATTTCCGATTAAATTAATGAAAGAAGTGGCAAGAAAAATGAAAGGAAATTTCGGTATTTTATTGAGCGAATAATTCTCATGAAAAAGGTTAGACAAAATTCAAATTATCTATTTTGTTCTAAAATGGCTAATAGTTTGAGAGCTTATATCTATTGAGCAATAGCATATATTAAACATACGGCCTTATTTATGTTCAAGTGAAGATGGGAACACATTAGTTAATGTAGAATTCGATTTTTTTCGATGAAATAATCTTATTTGAAAAGTGCTCATTTAGTTTCTTCGTTTGGATATATAAACTGAATCTTTGAGTAATTCTCTTTTGTTTAATATTCTCGAAAAGTTTCTTCCCTATTGCAAGTTTGATAATAAGATCTGGTTACTGATGATTATTTCGCATAGTAACATGTTGATGAATAAATGAAATCTGATATGCAACCATACATAATATGTCATGATTACAATGAAATACAAAAACACTGATTAATACGAAGATATCATTAATAATCGAAAAAAGGCTATAATCTAGAAAAAATTTACTTATTAAATGATTATATTCATCTGAAAAAAAGACAAAGACTGACAATTTTTTAAAGAAAATTATCTGAGAAAAGTCTCCTGTCAATTGAATATTTTGAAAATAATCGAATTTTATATGAAATAATATTCCTCTTAATTGTGAATGTACAGTAAATGAAATCGTAATAAGTAATAGTACACATTACGTATGTAAATTTTAAATTTTAATGTTATTTTGATAGATATTTTTGTTTAATTTCAGGAGTGGTTTATGTAAACTTTGGACAATACCAGATTGTAAACATGTCCGAACATTTCGTGGTCATACAATAAATGCTTGTTGTATTAGTTGGCATCCTCAATCAACATTAACACAAGATCCAGCAATGATTAATTTAGCATCTAGTTCATTTGATGGAAGTGTTAAATTATGGAATCTTCAAAGTGATGAACCTATTGCTGAAATTGAAGGTTATTTAAATTACATTAAAAAATAATAATCAAAGTATCTTTTATCGTTTTCATTAAGGTCATGCACCATTTCGTGTATCAAAAGTAAAATTTCATCCATCTGGAAGATTTTTAGCTACAGCTTGGTAAATAATAATAAAAAAACGAAATCAATTTCCTTTTTAATTAAATAAAAATTTCTTAATTGTAGTTATGATCATTCATGGCGTTTTTGGGATCTTAAAACTCAAGAAGAAATTTTACATCAAGAAGGTCATTCAAGAGCAGTTCATGATATTACATTTCAATGTGATGGAAGTTTATCTGCTACTGCGTATGTTAACAAAATTTTTTTGAAATTTTCATATATATTAAATGTTCATTTAATATAGTGGTATGGATGCATATGGTCGAATATGGGATCTTCGAACAGGTCGTTGTATTATGTTTTTAGAAGGTCATCTTAAACCAGTATTGTCTATTGATTTTTCACCAAATGGGTTTGTTAAAATAAAAACATATTTATTTACTTCTTTTCATATCATTTAGATATCATCTAGCAACTGGTTCTGAAGATAATTTGTGTAAAATTTGGGATTTACGTCAGATTAAGAATGTTTATAGTATTGCTGCTCATCAAAATTTAGTTTCAACTGTTAAATTTCAACGTATATTTTTAAGTTTAAAAAAATCTGATTAGACGAGTTTCTGTTATTTTTTTTTGTTTTAGGTACTGAAGGACATTATTTAGTAACTGCTTCTTATGATAATACAATTAAATTATGGATGCATTCGACATGGTCAGCACTTTATTCTTTAACAGGTCACGAACAAAAAATAATGTCAGCTGATATATCTCGCGATGGACGATGGATTGCAACTGTTTCTTATGATCGTACATTTAAAATTTGGTCAGCTAAACAAATTCGTTAAAGACTTCTCTGTTTCCTCCTTTCTTAATAATCATTTTTTTTCTTGATGAAAAGTAAAACATTAGATTTTAAGACTAATGTCTCTTTGTTCAATATGATTTTATGTATCATTGATGATAGATATATGAATAAAGTTAACTATACCATTAACAAATCAAAGGAGTGCAGACGTTTCAGCCCACTTTGATGGTCCACAGACTCCGCGCGGGGGTCCTAAGTTTGGGGGAGGGGGGTGTAAGACTCCTGAGGTAGTCAAATTTCGAGACAGCAAAATTTTTTTCCGCATTAGGCCTAATATTCATCTTTCTCGTGCAACTTGAAATGTAACAATTTTTCGCGGAGCGAAAACTTTTTGCAACCTTCTCAGAAAACTCGACTTTCTCTGGCAAATTTTCAAGAAGACAACCAGCGTCTGATGTGAGAAAATTCCTCAATACTTCTGCCGCCGAAGGCGGCCACTCTGGCGACGATTGTTCTCGACTATGCTGTTTCGAAGGAAAAATGGACTAAACTTAGAAGTTTTTCAAAGTTAACCGCGATTACGCAACCGTTATTTTTCGCAAAGCAAAAATTTTTTTCACGTCAGACTCATGAAAAACTCTTCTTTTCCTTATTGTTCTCGAAATCAAAAAGTATTGCTATAACTCTTAGCAATTTCACCACCGAAGGCGACCACGCTAGCGACGACTGCTCGCAAATAAACCTGTTCAGAAGGTAGGAAGCGGTAAAGTATGCCATAAAAACAGGAAGATCAGAGTTATTTTCAAGGCGAGTATGCCCATGCGGCTACTTCTTTATAAAGCGAAAAATTTTAATATTTCAGAATTTTGTAGCAAAAACCATCGTTTAAGCCGAAATTTCGAGTAAAAAATCAGCTGATTTCTTCAATTTGCCATAAAACTTCATGTTTTCCGCCGATATCTCAACGATAGTTGCCGATTATTATTATAGAAAGATCATTCCCTGACTCCCATTTCCACTCAGGACACCTCTGAAAGATATTTCTGAAAATATCTCTGTGAGATACTTTATAGATTCAAAAAAATATTATCCATTTTGATGGCTAATAATAAATAATTTTCAATTATTGGGGGTGTACACCCCCCTACACCCTCCCCCACTTTCGCGGGTCCTGATTCTCGCTCATGTCATCGATTATTAGTGAAAACATAGTTGACAAGAAGTTTCTCAGTTGACAGATGATATACTAGTGTAACAACGCTGAAGGATATACGTGAGTTCCACATGTCAGCTCCAAAAGAGCTACGCTAACAAGCAATTTTATGTTATTTTATTTTAAATATGAATATTCTAATAATTTTAATTTTAAGAATATATTTAAATTAAGCAAAGTTAATTTAATTGCTCGTTGAGATAGGATCATTTTAATTTAGAACTAAACCATCATATGGAAAAATAGTTTCTTTTGAATATAAATAGCTTTTTTTATTTTTATATTTAAAATTTATTTTTTTTTGAAAACAAAAAAATTTTTCCTAAAAAATGAAAATCAAAAGATATTTTTCCAAAGAATAGACAATTTTTTTTGAATTTATTTTTTTAATGTTGTCCAAATAATGTCGTATTCAGTAAAAAATAATTTTTATTTAAATGTGAACATAAAACTTTAAATTGTATTAAATAGCGTCTTAGAATGATTATGACCATGTAGAAGCTAATTTCTTGATCATATGGCTCAATGGTCTAAGCAATGGGTAAGTAATACATTGTGCGCATGTTCGAACCTAATGTTCATCCTTACATATTTCCATTTAGACTAGTTCGGACTCGTCCACTACACACAAGACTGCAACTTGTCCTGTGTACCGTCCCTGACGTCCTTACTTTTTCAGTTTTAAACTCATTTTGGACGCTGTTGTCCGTCCTGACTAGTCTTTGTCTCAAAAAGTCCTCGTCTAGGACTAGTCTGCACATTAGATAATAAAGTTCTGTATCAACCGACTTCAGCCCAGTCCTGGACTAGGTCTTCTCAAAAAAAAGACTAGACTTGACACGTATAGTGTCGTCCGTCAATCAGGTAATCAAGACGGGGCTTCATGACGGCCAAAAATTCCGGACTAGTCATGTCATAGACGAATTTGAGACAAAGACCGGGCATGACGGGTCGACATTACTAGAAAAAAGACGAGTCTGTTAGCCCGTCTCTTGCTCACTTGGGCATAGTGACTGTAGTTTGCAGTAATAGCTGAAATATCATCTTCACGACTAGACCGAATTGTTAACATAACAATTGTAAAGCTATCTAATAAACAATGTATAAAGATAGTCAACATTCTTTTTTACTTTAATCATTTCTTGCTACACACAGAACGGTACATTTAGTTTGATCTTTGTGCACGCGTAAGTCATTGTAAAATCAAATTACACATCTTGAATATTTTCATGAAATGCAAAAAAAAAATAATCAAAATCATGCTATTTGAACCTGTTTATAAAGAATAGAAATTCATTTTCGATTCTGTTTTTCATAACAAAGGAAAATAGAATTTTTTAAATTTGATTTAAACTAATTTAGAAAGTTTTTTTATGAATCTTGAATTAATATACTCATTTATTAGAAAGACTAATTATTTCAGTTAAACTTAAATGTATATATATATATATATGAATAATAATTAGCCATCTAAATTATTTTTGCTAATGAAATAAAAAGAATTATTTTGCAAGCATCATGTATTGAACATAATTTTAAGTGTATGAGTAATTAAAATTGAAGTGCAGATAGTTTATTTCAATTGTTTTAATAATTTATTTTTAGAGAGACACAAATAAAAACGAAATGATATTTGACATATTTATTTTGCTATGTACTTTCTATATTGCAATCGTCTCATATCATTTTCAATTAGCAATTGTTCTGATTGTTTTCTGAATAACTTTTGATAGGAACAACAGAGCGACCTGAGATTTTCACTTTTCAAGAAAAAGTCTAGAGAAGGGGTAATTCATCATTTCTGATTCGAATATTGATGTTTATTTCCAGTTTCAAAGCAATTTGAGAATTTTCCAGTCCCATCGAATCGCAAATTGGATTTTGTAATTTCAGCAAATCTATATAAAAAAATTAATCCTTATTATTAATCACCAAAATTCAATCGAAATCCGTGCAATAGTATTCTTTAACATCTATCATGTATGATATAATATTTAGAGTATTTTGAATTTCCTGAAAAATAAGAGTTGACCATACTCTTCAAGAAACTATTGAATGACTCTGTTTAGATGCTTGATACTAGAAAGATTAACTGAGATATATCCGATCATCGATTTTTCAACTAGCATAATAAATTATTTCTAACTCAAAATCGAAATATAGCGTTAGTTAATTCAGTGAGATTCGTCCGTGATCCTTGCTTCTGCAATAGCAATAATTCTTTGTTTTAACACCACTTAATGGTGTAAATATTGGATTCAGTGAAGTAGATTATCATTATCTTTTATTTTGTAGTTGTTCGAAAGATGGATTGTATAGTTATAAAAATATTAATACAATGAAAAGTAATAAAAAATGGAGAACGATAAGTACAGTCGTCAATCACTGTGACTTGACATTTGTTAGGGACAATATTATGATCCTATTTTATTGTACCAGACAGCATTGATAATGGTCATCAAACGATCTAAAAATCAAATATTCGACTGTTGACGATCGTTTACAATATATTGAAATACGGCCGTAATATTTCGCCCATGACACAGAAAAAAAACATGTAAAATGGTCGTTTACCATCATTTTTATTTGACCTAGGAAGGTATACATTCGATTTATTATACTTTTTGATGGTAGGCATTGAGAATATAAAGGTTTCAGCTTTTGTGTTTAGTTTCATTCATGTTGTTCTTTTTAAGGTAATCACTATATACTTAAGTAACAGGCACGTTCTGTGCTGTTTTACATATCTTAATTTTCTGATCGCCTACATGTACACATGATTCAGAATAAAAGAAAAAAAAATGTTTCATTTGTTGTGACCTACCTGTCTATAATAATTCTTTGCAATAAAAAAAAATCGAGTCTCAACGATATCGTGTTGTTCTTATACCAATTTTTGTTTATTGATGATCGTATCGAACGATAAAAATGTGATTCACTTCCAAATCCTACGCGTTCGTATTATATTCCATTAAATAATATGAAAAGGTAATAGTAAGTAGACTCTAATCAAGATTCTCTTCTAAAAGTAAGTTTTCAACTCACAATTTAGTATATGTAGATTGGTCATGAAACGCAACTTGTTTTAAAATTTTGCTCATTAGTGAAATTGCCACTTAAAGCTTGTAAGTAGGAATATGAAAGTGAAGTTAGTGTTTGATTCAAGTTTTTTTGAAACGATTCGCCTAATCAAGTGTGCCAAATATCATGTATTGTGTGATAAATAGAGCTCGAGAAACTCTTTCGATTCATATATTTAGATTTTTTTAAGGAACGATCAAAAACAATACACCTTACTGTTAAGGACCGGATATGACCTGTTTGTGGTGTGGTTCCTAATGAGTACGATCTTTCCCTCCTTGTTTCTCACGGGTCACATTTTTTCCATGGAGATTCGATGTAGTTTCCGGTGGTTTCGGTCGTATGGGGAAGCCGGAATTATCGATCTAGGCATTGATTTTGAATGTATTGTCGACCATTAGAACATTATTTTTTTTAAAAATGTATTGAAATACGTTCAAACTGCGAAAAATAATGTACTACCATTGATTATTCAATGTCTTTGACAAAATAATGAAAAATAATGGGCTATTTTTTTGCATTATTTATCCATTATCGACTACATAAGTAGTGATATAGTTTATTCTAGAGCTTCGCACATTTGATATACATTGAAGCTTTCTCAGCAGTTAAGTAGAGAGAAACTTGAAAATTTTAACAACATAACAAGGAAAACATTCGGTGAACAAAAAATAATAAGTTAATAAATGTTCAATTTGATATAAAACATGGTTACAAAACATGTATTCTTAGAAGTATTTTTCTCAGCATTGCCTTTAGCTAGAAAAATCAATAGCTTGTTCGCTTTTATTAATTGCATTGTCTAGCTATTTAGTTGTCGGCTTATGAACATATCTGAAAAAAAATTCACATGTTGAAGAATCGATCAGTTTTTACAGCGTTTACGAAAAAGTTACGTTCACTCGATAACAATGAAAATTACAGTTTTCTAATTGAGGTTTATATTCCATTTCCATTCAAATATTCAGAATTGTAGTTTATGTTTATGTTTATGTTTAAAGTAGAGTTTGCTTTATAGATAAATATATATATCAACGAATTAGAATGAAATATCCTTCGTTGAAAGTCGTTATTGTGCTGTTATTTTTTGTTGGGTTCTCGTCTATTACTGTGATAAAAGCAACTAAAACTCAAAATCCATTCTACATAATTTCGCATATGGCAAATAGTGGACCATCTCTCGATTGGGCAATATCGCAAGGTGCAAATGCAATCGAAAGTGATCTTCATTTCGATAATAACGGAGACCCTACACATTTTGACCATGGTGGTATTTGCGATTGTATCTGTGCTGTTGATGACAACCATATATGTAATACTGTTCAGACTGAATGTGAAGGGCTTGGAGCTAGTGAAAATGCCATAACTCATGTGCAACATATTGCGCGACTTCGAAGTGTTGCTCTTGTTTTTATCGATTCCAAAGTGGATGCGAATATGGGAGCTACACTCACTAAAGCTGGCTCTGCCATCATTCCTTTCTTAGACAAATATCTTTTTGCCAATGGTTACCAAGGACAAGTCATAATTTCATCAGCAAAAATTGACACATATAATTACCTTCGAGCAGCAGCAACGACATCAAAGTCTTCACCAAATATGGCACGTTATTTCTTCACATTCGATCAAGAGGCTGATAATTATGCTGGTGTGATGACAATACTTTCTCGTTTTACAAACAATCGAGTCTACGGAACTGGTAGTTCTTCTTGTATTTGGACAACATTTTATTCTGGTATAAAAGCTAGTGTTGCAGGTGAACGAAATGGTGAACATGGTATGACATACATTTGGACTTTAGACAAGAAATCATCCATGCAAGAATACATAAATCTCGGTGTGCAAGGGATCATGACAAATCGAGTTGCTTCACTTAAAAATTTAACAATTTCAATGGATTTAAAAATTGCTCAGCCTTCGGATACTATTCCTATTTCGATTACTCCTATTTCATCAAAACATGAATGTGATTGTGACTATCAGCATGATGGTTGTGTAATTTCAATGCCTCCACCAAAGAATACAGCATGTAAATGTACTAAACGATTGTTGGGTTGCGATGGTAGTGTTGTTCCATGCAGTAATCCGGATAGCCCATATTGTGTTGATCCTGATTTGTCTTCTGATACGTGCGCTTTAGGTGGTGGCAATTGTAAAGGATATCAGAGCTGTGATTGTCAATATGTCTTCAAAGGATTGTTTAAACCAAGTGGCTGTAAAATCATCAAAGCCACGATTTCCAAGTTTGCCTGTAGATGTCAGCATGAGAGTGCCCTGAGTTGTTCTGGTTATCCCGTACCATGTGATACTTCAAACTCAAAATGCGTCAATCCTGATCGATCGAAAGAATCTTGCATGTTGGGTGGAGGCAATTGTAATGGATATTAGACAAGATAGATAAAACAAGTTGCATCAATATTTTGATTAATCAGAAACAATTAACTGAAATTTTGTTGTTCATTATAATATTCTGTATTTTTTTTTATTTTAATTAATTCGATCTAACGATGTACTAACCAAATTCTTATAGCATAATATATTTAATTCATATTCTAGAATGTCTATAGCTAAATCCATTTTAATCTATTATGTCTTTATTTATATAATAAATACTACTATAAGAATAAATCATGATTAAGATATAAATACATTGCAGTCATACATTGATAAAGTTACTGTCATCTATTACATCTTACTTGAAGAATTCAAGGATTAATGTGAAGTATATAGTTCTTATTCTTTATATAATATATGCATTACATCGATTCATACTTACATTTGGAAAGAGCTATAGTAGCTCGTAGCGAATGAGCAGAAATCTTTGTATTTTTAAACCGAAATTTACTCAAAAATTTTTTTTTTAAAAATGTAACAATTTATAAGTTTAAAACTGCGAACTGTTTAGAGAAATATGTTTAACTATTTCAACGAAATCCTTGTAACCATCTTCAACTCATGCATTTCGTTTTATATTAAAAAATAAAAATTCTCAAGGTATACATACAAACTTGAATTATGAAATTATCAAAAAACATATGTCTATAGAAGTAGATGTCCGTACAAAAAAGATTTCTTTCTTAACTCTAATATTATAAGGTTTGAGTTAATATGAAAATATAGGCACAACTTGTCGTTATAATTGAATAAAATACAAATTTTTTTACCAAGTAAATGAAAAAACTAATTAGGCATGTTTTAAGAGAAATTTTGTATCTAAAACATTAAAATGACAAAATTCTAGTTGTGTTGAATTGTATCAATGAATTTTGGCTTCATATTGTAAATTTTCAAAGTTTTATTACATTCTACATCCTCGAGAAGTCTGTAATACACAGACAGGTAGAAGTAGAGAAGATATTTATGTCTGAAAAAACCACAAAATAAGTTTTGATTTTCGAAAACTGAATACTTTTTTTTTTCTTTATGAAGTTGTAGGCGAAAACCATTCGGAGGAAGATTAAATATACGAGGCGTACATTTATTCTCATAGAATTCAAATATGCTAGTTTTTTTTCGAATGTACAGCTTTTGTTTATTAACAAATCAGAGTTCATGATACGTTTCGATGGTATTATTATATATTCTGCATCAGTGTTCGACTCGGGTCGAGTCGTGAAAAAAAGTTTTTTAGATTTCGAATTAGGTCTGCAGTCTAAGCATGTTACAGATAGAAAAGACATTTCCAATGTGTTTTTTTTCATTTAAAAGTTCTATAAAAGAATATGTCTGTTCAATGGTGATATAAAGGTTGTAGATTGTATACATAAAAAAGACAAACAAGAAAAAAACCTTCTATCTCATATTTCATATTGTACCAACTGCAAAATATCAGTGAGATATCAAAACGAAAAGAGGTTCAAGACATATAATTTGTTTCTACCCGGGCAGACAATGATGTCACTTTTTGTACTAATTTGGTATTAAAAAAAGTGTGTCTAATTTTCTATATAGTTTGTCCCCTTTGTACAGATTTTTCGCATCTAAATTTTTGATGGCAAAAAACGGCCACTTTTTTTTTCAAAAATAGTGACAAATTTTTGAGCGTTTAAACGCATTGAAAAACACAAATGAAACATCAAATTATATGCAATTTTTTTTTGACTATTTTCGAAAATTTTATTTTATGCGTTTATTTGTAATATTTTATATATAACAATTATTTATATTTCTCTTCTTGCTACAGTGATATAGACTTTTTGCTACAACTTCTCAAAATTAATTCAACACGCAGTTATATTTTACTTTCGTAAAGGTAAGATTTAGCTCTATTTTTGCTATCTACCCTTAATTCCTAAAGAAGACAATTATCCAAAAAGAAACTGATATATATATTATTCAAATGCACTTTTAGTGATGTAGTACTTTAAAGCTTTCGTGTTATCTTGCCTACTTAGTCCAATAATCACATCTTGGATTATATCTTAAATGTTAGTGACGTGCAGCGACATAGAATGTATAGAAATAACAGATTTAACTTACTACTTAATAAAAAATGCATTTGAATAGTATATATAGGTTTCTTCCTAGGTGACTGTCTTCTTTAGAAACTAAAGGTGGAGAGTAAAAAAGAGCTAGATCGTACTTTTACGAAAGTAAAATATTACTACATGCTGAATTAAGGCTGAGATGTTGTAACAAAAAAACTCGATATCACTGTAGCAAGAAGAGAACGAATACGAAGTATAAGTATGTTCATGATCTGATGAAACACATCGCAAATCGTTGTTAACTTGCATGAATGAAACTAAATACATTGCTATTCATTGTGCAGTTCATATAAACCCAAGCAAAAAATTATATATAATGTTTTTCGATGAATAATTAATGTTCGTATTGGTCCTGATATTGATCTAAATAAAAAAAAAGTTTTATCAAAACATGCTGCTCATTGTATTATTGAAGTTAATTTGAATAATACAAATAAATATTTTTTATCTATTGTCACTAGTTGTTGATTTTTATCATGAGATTTGATCTAAATAAAATAAAAAAAACAATTTCTATTCTGAGAAATGACTTACTGTTTATGTTGATATGGAGCGTGATCTAAACAAAGGAAAACTTGAGTTGTATCAAATAATACTTACTGCTCATTGTATTCTTGAGGCTAATTTGAATAATACAAATAAATGATTTCTATTTATTAGCACTATTGATTTTCATCTTGAGATTTAATTTAAATATAAAAACAAAATAATTTTTTTTTTCTACAAAACGACTTACTGTTTATGTTGATATGAAGCGTAATCTACAAAAAAAGACAAACGTATTATCAAAAGATACTACTCTTTATATTGTTGAAGTTAATTTAAATAATGTAAATAAATGATTTGTATTTATTATCACTATTGAATTTCATCTTAGGATTTGATCAAAATAACAAAAAGCAATTTCTATTCTGAGAAACGACTTACTGTTTATATTGATATCGAGCATGATCTAAACAAAGAAAAACATTGAGTTTTATCAAAAAATACTTACTACTTATTGTATTCTTGAGGTGAATTTAAACAATGTAAATAAATGGTTTTCATCTAGAAACACTAACTTTGGTTTTTATCTTGAGGTTAATCTCAGTAAAAAGCTTATATTTGATCGATCCCTATTCACATATCAATAATATGTAATAAGATTTGAATGTACGCACATCACTTGATGGAAGAAGTCTTCCTCCAGAAACATACATGTATTCTGCTCTGTAGTCAACAATAACTATGAAACTCATAATCGAGTGGAGAAAAATTGTCTATTCTTTAAAAAAATTTTACTGATTGAAAATGAACAGTTTTTCCTTAACCAAAACTCAAACTATTTTCATTCAATTTTTGACGCTATATGTCTGAGTTTATTATTAATGTGAACATGTGTTGATTACATGTATGCGTGTAGAAAAAAACATTGGAATCTTCATTCCGTAAAACGATCGAGCTATAGCATTATGATAGAATTTCTTAGAGTATATAATTATTTAAACTTTTTAATCAGTTATGTTGTTCTTTTGTCATCATCGAACTAAATAGTTTTAAAAAATGAAATCGAGATATTGCGGACAAACAACAATGAAATGGATCCGATCACACGTACACTTTTCTCATCCGACTTTTTTTTCTTTATTTATGCTTGAACGTCTAAATTTACAATGAACAATCATTCTGTATTATTATGTTGATCCAATCGCTGTTTTTCATTATTTCATATTCGTCGGTCATGTATATCGTCGAGGTGTGATATCACTTCAAGACAGAAAGCATAACAGTTGAACATTATTTCATCTATCTTTTTTCATCGTGATGTTTCCATTCATTTATCACATGCCGAGGCTCGCTGTCATAAACAAAGGATAGCGCTCTGTGTTTGTGTCTTATCTTTTCTTTTTCTGATCTTATATAAGCCATGGTACTTTCCACTTTTCTTCAGTCTTCCAAGAATTATGAAAGATGAAAACTTTGCAAATAATCATATTGATATTCGTTGTGGTAAACCAATAACATTTATCAATAACAACAATCTGAACTGTTTTTTATTAAATCATATGCGTACTCGGTTCACCACACATGAAGCCTGCTGGATCAACCAAATTAAATACTCTGTCTATACGCGTGAGATCAATAGCAAGATTAATGATTCTTGTATACTTTATCGTGATAATAATACGAATAGTATTGGTTTTATTATGGCTATAATAAATGAAAGCGAACATATACAATCTGTTATGCCTGCAAATCTGGTTCATTATGATGAATTTCTTTTACGGAAAGAATTATTTAGAAACATATCTGTGGTTTATGAAGAATTAATTGATACATCGGAATTCAAGTTGTTTTCACATACCCATTTGTTATGGAAATTAGTTTTTAAATTTGAACAAGAAAATAATTGTACATTTTTTATTTTTATAAATACAATTGAAAGTACATAAATAAAAAAATATTCTCACATATTTTCGCCAGGAAATAAATATTTATCATGCTGAGACAAGTTCACTGTTTTCCATTAGTTCATTCGAGCATGAAGAAGACAAACATCTTCAGAAATAAGCTAGAGACAGAACTTAATACAAAAATATTTCTTCAAAAATATCAGAAGGCATACGATTATGTGTATTGTGCACGTGAAAAAAGTTGGTCAGAAAAAATTTCGATAAAAAAAAAGTATCTCATTTACACGCAAAAGTTCAAAGTTTTGAGGTACAATGGGCGTTTTTCGTTAGAAATAACGTTTCAACCACTTTTATACATAAATTTGACGAAATTTGGCTGAAAAAGGAGTAGAAAAAAGTGGAAAAAAAAGGAAATGTCGAAAAAATCGCCAAAAATACGATTTTTTGTGCGTTTTTTGACATAAGCGAAAAAAACGCATAAAATTTGACTAAAAGTTGCTACTTTTGTTCAAAAAACGTGAAAAATCGATATGTCTGTCTGCTTGGGTAGCTACCAAATCAAAAAAAAAAATAGCAAAGAATTAATAAATTGATTTTCTCAAAAGAAAGAGACAAGTCATCGATACCAGAGTCTGACTGGAGTCAGGCAAAGAATGAATAAGTTGGATCGAATCTAGCTGTAAACGTTCATGTGAACAGAGAAGCATCCACGACCCTGCTTGGATTGTTTAATTTTTGTAATCAATGTCAAAATGACATGCTCTATTTTTAAGCCTCGGTTTCTACTATGTTATGTGAGTCTTTTAGTAAACAGAATCATGAAAGTATCACTTCCATAAATCTTGTAACGAATGATAATGGTACTATTAATTGAGCTAGAATGTATTTTAATAGATAAGAAGAATGAATATACAACAGGAATGAAGTTGACTTATAATGCAATGTAATTTGATATCAATCTGTAAACGAAGATAAGAAACACGTGTTTTTGACCTACATTAAATAGTGTTTTTTGGTTTATGTGACTTCTTTTTGATGATACAAATTTTTTTTTTATATCATAAAAAAACGCTGATAGAGTTAGAGTCAATTTGAAAGCATAATTCTTTGTATAGAAAAGGTCGTATTTTTTATCCGACTCTGCCTCTCGTTAAAACACATTCTTTAATAACCTCTTCGAAGTTTACTGGAAATTCTATAACATTTAAAAAAAATCCTATGGAATTCAAAAGAGTTCTATGACCTCCGAAGAAATTCTAGAAACAGTGGTAATCCTGAACTTCAGAATTCTAAGACTCAGCTATTCATTTCTTATATGCAATGTACTGAGAGAAATCTTGTTCGTTTTATATATTTTCGTTAGAAAAAATGTCATTTGCATTCATTCATTTGGTCTAATGCTGTCATAAAAAACTTTAGTATAGTGAATGAATATTAAACAATACTGAATATTAGTATCTTAATCATATTCATCACTATCAAAATATAACGCACGAGGCTTTTGTTTTTACAACAAAATACAGGTATAAGAAACCTTGATCGGATTTTTTTGTTGTTGACAACAACAACAAAATCGTATTAACACCAGGTTGAAAAGAATGAAAAAAAAAACATGCTTTTGTGTCGTTTGCTTGAATTTGAGTTTATTGATGGCCTATACTCTTATCTTTCGTTCTCTTTTCTATTTTTTTCTTCGTATTCTAACAAACAGTTTCAAGCATATTATTCGTGCAAATATTCGTTGAGTAAGATAAATTAACTATCATCATGGTATTATTGTCCTTGTCGATACTATTTGTCCTACTTTTTCTTTTCGTTATCTACCGTTTGGTGCCAGTTTGGATAAAATATACTAAATTACGACAAGATTATCATAAAATACCATCTCTTCCCATTTCACCGATCCCATTCATTGGTAATATACATCAATTCGATAAACGACAAGATGTCTTCTCTCGTCTTCTTATGGTTATGGCAAGAGAATGTCAACAGCAACAACAACAACAAGCAAAAGGTTTATTTTGTCTCTGGTATTCACTCTGGCCGATGGTTTTTGCATGTACAGGAGAAAACCTTGCAGTAAGAATATGTCATTAAATTTCTTTGGTAGCATTCTATCTTTCGATTTCAGACATTTATCAACAATAGTAAACAGCTTGTCAAATCATTCGATTATACCTTTCTTGAGCCTTGGCTAAAGACAGGTCTACTTACCAGGCATGAATAAAATATTTGATCAATACTATTCATATTATTTTTCTTTTCTTAGTAATAATGCCAAATGGCGTACACGTCGTCGTCTTATTACACCATCGTTTCATGATACTCAATTGTTGCACAATTTTATGCTCATATTTAATGAACAATCTTGTGTATTTGCTCGACGTCTTGAGGAATGCATTTCAGTTGGAGATGAACCGAAAGCATACGATCTTTATCCGTATATATCAACATGCACACTCGATATTATTGCTGGTTAGGTCTATTAAATAGAACGAAAGTATATTTCTTTATTCATTGAAATTCTAGAGTCGGCTTTGGGCAAACATGTTGAAGCTCAATCAAGCGGTGGAAAGAATAAATTCGTCGAAGCAACCGGACGGTACAATAAACTTATGAAATCATGATGTGCCTTGTTTATTCCATGACTAAGGAAAAAACAAAATTAATAACAATAGAAAGACTAAGAGTAGAAATGCATATATGTATACTAAGATAAATGAAGAGAAAAACTGTTATTATCGCATATGAAGAAGACGCAAGTCAGAGCAAAAATGAGCCACTTTGTTGAGAAATATATTTTTTGAAGTTTAAATTTATCTTTGATCGATGAGAACTTATCTGATAAACAAACTATTGATCATCATTTTTTTTAGCGTATGTGGTATAATAAATCATCGCATACGATCTCCATGGATGTGGCCTACATGGATCTTTGATCGATTACCGATAGGTCGTGAACAAGCCGAACGACTCAACATCCTTCATGGTGTCTCTCGCAAGGTAGTCCTTCTCTTGTTTGCAGTCTCTCTTAATTATTAATGTTTTATTTAAATTAATAGATTATTGAAGATCGTCTTGCTACATTCAACGCTGAAAATATCACAAGTAATAGTGAGAAGAAAACCACTCGTCGTCTTGTCTTTCTTGATAGTCTTCTCGCTCAAATGAATTCTGAACAACTCACATTAGACGATATTCAAGAAGAAGTCGATACGTTCATGTTCGAAGTATGCTTTTATGTTTGTTCTTGTCATATCTTAATCATAAATCCTACCAGGGACATGATACAACAGCAGCTGCTGTCAACTTTACCTGTTATTTAATTGGATCTCATCCAGATGTTCAAGCAAAACTTCATACTGAAATAGATGATATCTTTTCTGGTATATTGTCATTTTATCTCTGCTAGCCATCAAAGATTACATATATGATTACTGTGTAGGTGACAAAGAGAGAATATGCACAATAGACGATGCGCAAAGGATGGTCTATCTCGATGCTGTAATCAAAGTGAGTGTAACAAAAACTTCTGTATACATTGGATGATAAAATTCGGATAAACATAGGAATCCATGCGTGTTCTTCCACCAGTCCCGTTTGTTATGCGTGAGGCACAAGAAGATTTTATTTGTCGTAAGTGGAAGAATTCTTTCTTATGTTAAAGATTAAATGTCCAAACTGTTAAAGATAAACAATAGCTTGAATATCTTTGTTATTTTTGTTATAGATGGCCAAACGATACGAAAGGGTACTACCGTATATATTTTCATTTATGGTGTTCATCATGACTCAAATGTATTTCCTCAGCCGGAACGATTTGATCCAGATCGTTTTCACCAAAGTTCAGTGACGAATGAGGAACGTTCGCCTTTTGCTTTTGTTCCATTCTCAGCTGGATCTCGCAACTGCATTGGTCAGTTTCTATCTTCTTCTCAATTACATCAATAAAAAAACATCAATGATCATTCATTTTTAGGTCAACGTTTTGCTCTGCTTGAAGAAAAGGTTATTTTGTCAACACTACTTCGTCAATACTCTTTACGTGCCACACAAACCATCGATGAATTACAACTTTCTTTCGAAGCTATCATGCGACCTACAGTTCCAATCAAGCTCTTTATTGAACATCGAAAGTTTCAATGAGTTCTTATTTTTCGTGATATGATAAAACTAGTTTATTTTGATTAATACAAGACTTTGATTCACCTTTTTTTTGGAGTTTTCTTTTTATATGTCAACTAGTTTCTTTTGTTATACTCTATCCAGTATTAATAATATCTTGAAAAAGAACGCCTTATGACGTACAATTTTCTGATATTTAAGAAGCTAACGGTATGAAGAATCCTTTTTTGTACGCATCACGTAGATTGTTTCTTAGTAAGTGAGAAGTCCTATAAATAGTAGCAATGCTCCTGTGTCTTTCTGGACACTTAGAGAGTGTGTTCAAAGTATCAACTTTAGTGCTCCGTCAGGCGTAAAAGTCTTGAAAACGTGTACAAATAAAAGACTTTCAACGGGTAACATCTTTCACTAATCATCGAGATTTAATCACACAGAGTTAGCAAAAATTTCAAAAACCGCGGGTATAAACGTGGCCAAACCTAACAAGCAAGAATATGAACCTGATGGACAGGACATGCACATCTCAATTCTTTTTTCTTTGCTAAAATGCTGTTTCACACAAAAACAAAATTTTGTATTTCACGTATGCTCTCAACTGTACCCGACGAACTGATATCCTCAATAGTCTATAAAACTAACTATATAGTTATGAATATCAGTTTCAGTCAAGTACTATTTGATTATTTGAAAATGTGGGTGGGCATCAGCATTCTCTTTACCGACTTTTACGCCCGCAAATCTCGACTATAATTTTCACTCATACCATATAGGACCAAAATTTTTGCGACAACTGATTTGGCCAACGATTTAGCGGACCTATCTTTACAGGAAGTCGCTCAGAATAGCATTTCTACAAATTCGGCAGTTCTCAAGGATTTATATTAACACTCTTTGAGAGAGTTAGAATTTTGCTCTTGAATAGTACATTTCAAAAACCTTCAATATTTAAAAATTTAGATAGATTTCCAACTTTGTGGCAGACATATTAGAATAATTGTCGAAAAGTTAACACAAAAATACTTGAAGTATTACTCTATTCTGCAAATTCTCTCCACTTTCACTAGCAACAACATTTGATTCGAATCGATATCATGCAGGATACTCAATAATCAATATGCATTTCATGATTCTCTAAAAGTAATAGCTTGGCACAGCGAAGATAAAAGTAAACCGTTGAGAATGTACAAAAGAATGAAAGACACGTGTCAATTTACACAAAATGAACTGAAGTTGTGACGCATTGCCAATGACATAGATATTATCCTATAATACTCTTCTGATGTTGGGTAGGAAGTGACTTAGTTGGACTTATTCATTCACCGTGTGATCTCGTCACACTATATCACTATAGAATAAATATTGAAAAGGACATCAATGCCCTAACTGAAGGAAAGCGGCTTAAAAGATTAGTTTGTAATATATAGTAGTTGAAGACTGAATTCATACCAAATAGATAACAGAAATAGGTTTTGGGAAGAAAACTGACGAGAAAATAAAATTGCCAAAATTGACACGAGAAAGTCCTTAAATGATCCACACCGTTTTCAATGATATTTTGTCTATATTTTAAGAATACTACTCTAAGAGAGTTTGAGATAACCGGACTTATTTCGTAGGTTATGAAAATTTCACTGTTTGTTTTACCTAGCATAGAACATAGACAGAAAAATTGAACAACGAAATTTCAATCTGAAATTTTGCGCATATTTAATTCTTGTGGTTATTAGAGCGCTTTGAAAGCTCTAGCAGAACAAGTGTTTCGTGGTCGAGATATTCAAATTTTTTTAAAAAGAAAAGCCAATTTCTCTGGATTTCATAGATTATCAGGCAAATTTTAAAGAATTAACATCTTTAAAAGGAAACATTTTTTTTTCAGTGAAATTTTTAGACCGCTTGAATCATCGGAAGAACTACATATACATAAAACTCCGGATTGAAATTCCTTTGTTCAATTTTTTGCTGTATATGCCTTGTGCTCTGTGAAAATATCAGTAAAATTATTATAACCTTCGAAATAATTTCCATCAAACCAAACTCTTTTAGAATTTTTCTTAAAATTGTGCCCTCAACATATGGATAAAGTACTATTGAAAACCACTTGGATCAATCAAAGACTTTGACATAGATCGGTATGCTCTATCGATTGATATCTGTTGCCAACGAAACAACGTTGACAATAGATGAAAGCATATTTCACACGTATCTGCTCGTAAATATCTTGCATTAGTATCTTGAATGAGAAGCAGTAGACTTTACGATCAAAATTTCTGCTGTTTCTTCTTCAGTTTTACCTTGAAGATAACTGTTTGTCACTTTCTTCAGTGACCCGGTTTTCTTTTCGTTCTGTAACTAGCATATACTGAGTTGTTGAGATAATAAAACAAAATGAAAGAAGCAAGCATTTGTCGTTGCAATACAGACTTATCTATTGTAGTTGTCGAGTCTTTTATTTTTTCATGGCTCACAGAGTTCATACAGAAGCGATGACAATGTCTCAAGTAAAACTTGAACAGCCACGAGATAACGATCAATCAATACCACAAACGCTTCAATGGATGCCGTCACCAGGATTAGCTAATCCTTTGCCAAACATGCCTTTAGGTCTGCAGTATCTCGCTCACCTCGATACGTTAATGGCTCTACAGGAACCGAGTGTTGTGCAAAGTATTTTAAATATATTATTGTTCTCTATATGTTATGTTATCATCTTTTGAATAGCGATTACGGGTCTTGCGAGTGCTCAACGTTTTCAAATACTCAATGAGCAAGGTCAACTTGTGTTCTACGCAGTAGAAGGTAAATCGAAACTCTTCACTTGATTAACATGTTGACAAACTTAATCATCATGTATTTTTCTACAGACGAAAGTGATACATGTCATCGATGGTGTTGTGGTGCTAATCGAGCTTTTGTCATTCATGTTTTTGATCAAATGAATCAAGTATGCATGAAATATGTTAGTTTTTTTGCTGATATTCGTAAAAATTTTAGGAAATTATTCGTATTTCACGTGAATTTAAATGTTGTGTTGGATGTTGCTGGTGTGCTAGTGCTAATTGTTGTGCACATGAGGCATTTATTGAATCGCCACCTGGAGTTAATATTGGCACTGTTCGACAAACGTAAATTCAATATTGATAAAAGATCCAATATTGATTATTTATTTTTCAGACGAAGTTGCTGGCGAGGTCACCTGAGCTTGAGAGATGCTGGTGGCAATGAACATTTACGTGTGATTGGTCCATGTTGTATATGCCAGGGAGTTTGTTGTTGCTGTTGTGAGAACAAATTTACTGTAAATTATAAAGAAAACAAGAAAAATTCATTTGATTCTTTGACAAGAAAATTTTCTATGAATAGATATATGCTGGCGAAGGTAATGATGAAACAGAATTGGGTGCTATTTACAAAGAGTATGCTGGTTTTGTCAATCAAGCATTTACAGGTGCTGAAAAATACACTATAAAATGTAAGCTAGAGTAGAAGCAAGTAAGTGAAGTTTAATATTTGTTTCTGGTTCAGTTCCAATGAGTTTACCTGTTCCAATGAAGGCCGTAGCTTTGGGTGCTCTTTTTCTTGTCGTACGTATTACTGTTTGCAATGTTTTTGAATTTTTTCTTTATACACAATTCATTCTTCTGTTTTTCTCTCTAGAACTTCATGTATTTTGCAGGAAATGCTGATCAAAAAGGTGGTTCAAGTATTCTATCATTACTCGGATGATTTGATTTCGACTAAAAGTATACATTGTGAACTGATTCTTATTACTTGTAGCTTTTATATATTACTTTATTTTTCCTTCTTTAATCACAACATATTCTACTGTGAATTTAATTTCATTCTATAAATAAACCAATTCTAAATTTAACGAAGAGACTACGCGTAGAAATAGCGAGCAAATAGAATACTTGACAAGAATTTCAATAGAAATGCTACTAATTTTTTCAATGAGAATAAATGATAGTGTTTCGTCATATCAGTTAGTTCTGATGATGTATTGAGTTGAACACTTGGGTTAAGACTCTATTTTAGTAAAAATTAAAGGGTCCTATCGCAAATGTTCAGTTTCTACCTTTCTACATGAAGAAATTTGCTAATTGTAATTATTTATTGGTCACCCGTGATGAGTATACTTTTGATTCAGTTTTATTAAGTAACATAGGCTCTTTCACATATCATATAGTATTTTGAGAAAAAAAACATAGAAACGAAATTCATGTGTCAGTTCGATACACTTAGAATGGTCGATCAAAACATGCGTCATAAAATTCTGCATCTCATAGTAGAATATTAATCGATGCAAATCAAGGACGAAGCTAAAGCCATCCTAATCCACTCCTGTGTTTGTATAAAAGTTAGTGTCTGTTTTGTATATTTTATTTAGATCATTGCTAATGCGAAAATTTTGTTTTTTTTTTAAATAAACAAACAAAAAATAACCTTTCATTAAATTGCCACTGTTTTATATGTCCATATTTTTATTTTTGGAACTACTAAAGTAATCAATGGTATGATTCGATGAATAAAATTTTTAAAGAATGACGAAAATGTTGATGACTGTAAACAAATCATTTTTATTACAAATATCACTGTATAAATAGGATCGAACTTGACTAAGAAGTAAAGAAATTGTTGAGAAAAGAAAATAGATAAAATAAAATATGAAATAAGAAAATAGTTTTCGATGAGTTGTGTGTTGATCCGTTAAAAGTAATAGTCACGAAATATGAAACAGTAATTTCAAGTTTATATATTATATTAGACGCTTGGAAGCTTCTCAACAATACGCCATCGTTTAATAATCGAATCGGCCACTTCTTTTGCAGTGGTCATTTCTGAAACTTCAATATAGAAATCATCCTTGAAAAGATCCAATGCTTTTTCATCGATATCCTCTAATTTAATGAGTAAGAGTCTATCGTTTTTTTGCTCAGCTGTCGGGACCATGAAACGTTGTTGAATAACTCGCCATTCATAACAGCAAAAATTAGACGTTTCATAGCCACGTGAAAGAAAGACAACAACAAATGAAGCTTTCTCATAGATCTTTCGTAAAAATCGATTTCCATATACTTGTGCTACTTCATGTTGATACCATGGAGCAAAGAATATTTTCTCAGGCAATTCTTTTTGAACTTCTTCACAAATCTCTTCTACTTTCTCTCTATTTTTTCCAGAAAAAGAAATGCCGATTGCATAACAATTTTCATCGTCTGATGAATGTATATTTTCATGAGAAGCCAATGGTGATTGCTCAGGTATAGTTGGTAATCTTTCTACAATATTATTTAGTTATGAAATATGTTAGTCAAAAGAACTTTTTTGACAAAAAAAACTCACCGAGAGTAGACGAAAATGGTAGTTCAGGAGACAAAGGTGTAATAGCTGAACTAATATCTATAAATTTCGAAAATAAAAAAAAAACGAAATAAATTTTATTGAATTGAATGATCTTCCATTTACCTGTTAAACTTTGCTGATCTAAAAAACCATCAGAACTCAGCTGTCTGCAAGTATCGCATTCATTCAACTGATCCGAAGCATCAAAATGTTCTGGTTCTTGTATTCCTACTAAATAAAATCGATTTATATGATGTTTAAATAAATTATTTAATGATAATGTACCATCACACATATCAGTTTGACAGCAAGCATCCTTTACAAGCTTTTGAAATGATTCGTTATTTATTTTGCGCAAGAATTGCATCTTGAAAATCTACATTTGAGTAATCAATATAATTTTTTATTCATATTAAAACAAAAAAGCGCTGAATAACTTACTCGTACTAAACGGAACCATACATATAGATACCATCGTTTTCCTAATTGCCACCATTGCTTTCCCAGACGCCAGAACCATTCTAGGATGGAAAGATGCTTACTCTTTGATACGATAGATGTAGATTTGATAAGATCATGTTCGTTTTCATTGATGCCAGACATGTTTGTACGTCACAAAAAAAAAAATTCTACAATAAATGTTTTCTTTAGGATCTATAAGAAAATTACAATTATTCTATTCATCAAAAATAAAAGAGATACTCGCATAAAATGCAAAAAAAAAGTAACGAATCATTTGCATACACAATTGAAAAGGTAAAAAACAAAAAAGGAAAAAACCTATTCACATGGTTGGTTGCAGGTTGTTAGCGTAGTGATGACTATACATAGAAACAAAAGAAAAAAGATGGCCGATTCACCACAATCTAAATAACAAGTGGTATAATAAAATGTTGTTTTAGATAAAAAATAAACATTTAGAAAAAACAAAAGATTTATTTTGATTACTTTCAAACGAGCTGAGTTGGATATGATGAATAGAAATGAAAATTTTCAAGAGCATTACAATCATCATCTTCTTATAATCACACATTCGTATTATATTGTATTTAAATGAAGAGAAAAATCAAAGGTAACAATGCACATCCTAAAAACATATTATATAAGGTTGTAATATTCCAATGGAACAATAGCATACGAGAGTTACATTAATAAAGAAAAAGTATAATATCATCAAAATGAAAATATGTATACTAAGATTATAGCGATTTCTTCAATCATTTTTTGATAAACAACTAATTTCAAATTTTCGCTTATTTAGAAGAAAAAAAACTAAGTACATGATGATGTTAAGTTGTATATAGACGATCATTTTAACACAATCATTTTTTTACTGATATGATATAACTTGGATATTCTATAAATAAGTCAGACAAACGAACTAATAAATAATATTAAATTGCAGGATTCATAATGTATTAAACAATAAATTTTTATTATTGAGACCGAAGCATTCTATTCTAATAACACTAAAAGAAAGAGTATTAGACGAAAGCAAACATGTAAAAAGCATATGTCTTCAATTACTTTTTTTTTTCAGTTTTTCATTCAATTAGTTTCATTGCAAACATTGGTTAAAAAAAATAGTCATATTGAATAATAGAAAATATGATAAATGTATAACTAACTTTGTGAATCGTGCCAGTAATAGATTGAAATATTTCAATTGATTTGTTCCTTGTTGCTATTAAGAAATTTTCAAATTATGAAATCTTTCAACAAGTGTGAGAAATCGAAAAACTCAATCTGAGAATAGATACTCTATTAGGTAATTTCTGTTCTGAAAAATTGACCGTGTATGAAATTCGACTGTTCTACATTTTTTTTTCATGTTCTTTTAAACTCATTTCTGTCCGAGATTTTATCAACAGAGTAGGCTTCTTTTCATAAAAATGCAATATTCATAAAGTATAACTCAAGCATCATCTTAGTTTCATTAATGTATTGTATAACCTTAAAATAGAATGCATGATGTAAACATCTACAATGAAAAATGGAAGGAAGACTGGAGTAGCATTCGACCTAACAAAGAAAAGGAAAAAAATTGATTACATTGCATTGTTATATACTTCTACTGATCAACATAATTTACTTAAAAAAAATGCTAGAAAAGAAGCAGGCTCTTCTATTCATATTGTAAAGCATAGTCATAAATTTAACAACAGCAAGTATCGCTAATATCATGTTTGATTCTTCAACCATTATTTCAGCATCGCTCGGTATCATTTCATCGTTAGTGATGTTCACATGGATACACTACTATTTAAAAGTAATAAAACATTCATCAGATACAGTTCCACTTTTATTAACAGCAAATATGTATTGGGCGATATTTCTTTTTTGTGCATCCGTAACATCATCTGTGTAAGATGATTTATTTTGTCGTATTCGTGATTATTTCACGATGATCGCCGTTACTACAGTGTTTTACTCAAATACACTTCAAGCAATATTTCGTTTATGCCGAATTGTTTTCTATACTCATCAAGATCTTCAATCACTTCGTCTTTATAGAATCACAATTTTTGTTCAATGGATAGTTTACTTCTTGATATCGCTACCTACACTTCTTGATGACATTGTGTATGTAACTAAATATTTGCAATATAAAATTACGTTTTGCAATAAACGTAGTTTTTATTTTCATCTATTAGTCACGTATTTGTTTCCGGTTAGCACAACTATAAACTGTTATGTCTATACCGTGCAAAAAATGCGTAAGAGAAATAACAATTTAAGACTCAATATATCAAACGTTCAACGGCTTACAACTCAACGAGATGTTATAGTTGTTTTCCGAATTAGTATCCTGCTTATACCAATGCTTGCTTTTTCCGTCTCTACGATAATTTCCTTTCTAATATTTAGCATCAATGGTTATTTTCTTTCGTTTTTTAAAGCAAGTTGAGTGGCTGACCTGTATGGTGTCAATAACGAGTCTAAATATTATCCTAACTCTTGCATCTCCTCAAGTTCGAAAAATATGGCTGGTTCGTCAACATGAACAAAAACAAACTGAGACAAATAGGGTTGCAGTAATACCAATAAGACCTACTTAGTATAATCATTGACTATATACTTTTTATGTACGACTAAGTCATAGAAGAATGCACAAAAGTATAACGAAATTCTTACACTTTAACAATCTATTGCAGTTATTTACAAATTCTGTAAAAAGTGAACTTACTGTGGTTGATGTCAACAGTTTTATAAACATAATTCAATAAAAGAACCTGAAATCTGTGGAAATAAAACAGCGGGAGAATGTTTCAGGCAGATAAGACCTTTAAAAAAGAATACATTTAGAGGAAGTATATGATCTTTACAACAGCGGTATTGCGAAATTTTAAACAAGTTAAAACACGTTACGTAACCTTGAACCTGTTAAAGAGTGTAATTTTTTTCGAAACTTACTCGTTTCTCTGTTGGTCTTACTATTGATTTTACGTATTAAAATGGGTTCACAGGGCTTAATAGATTTTAACACAGTCATATCTTATAGGTGACTTGAATTATTATTTTTTCTTTTCATACTGGTTTACTGTGTATGTTGAAATATAGATTGCAAAAATCCAAGGTAACATGCTCAATATTTATACAACATGTGAGTTCATATTTATATTTGAACTAATTTCTGAGCAGATGAGAGAGTATTTACAAATGTTAAAAAAGAAAAAAATATTGTAAAAATATTTTTATATATTTATTTTTTTTCAAACACCCGGAATTCTATTTAGCAGTTTTAATTTAATCTTCTTTTAATCTGATTCATGATATAGTTTCTTTCAAATTCATATTCGATTATAATCTGTTTATACAATAGATTTATTATCAATTAGTTGTATTATGTTTATCGATACTTCTTGTAATGTAAAGAATTCAAAATTAACTGTATAAACATAAAATAATTCTGCTTTCATATATTTATAAAAGGACAAAGATATGAATAAAGTGATCTGATGTTTTACTCACAATATAAAATAAATGAGTCTTAAAGAATTAAAGATAATATGCAAGTAGATTCTAAAACATTGTAAAATATTTGGAATTCACAAATTATAATATTTTTTTCAAATGAAAAAAGTTACCAATTGTCTATCAGATACATAGGTATCCAAGAAAAAAATAACGCATTTTACTTCCTAACTTCTATAGACGGTCTATCACATGCTTCCAAAAATCGTAGCCTATCTAGAAAACTTCGTTGCATTATAAAACCTTCTTCTCAATAATTTCGTAAACATCCAAATGCTAATTTAAGTAGATCATGAGGAACAATAAAAAGCAATTTTAATGTGGGTAATGTTAAATCATATCATATTAACACGCTTTTTTTCAACTATTAGACCAATAGATTTTTCATTCAAAGCCATTGTTTTTATGCTTCTTTGTTTTTTCTGAGATTTCTTTCATTCAGTCACTTATACTTGTTCCACTTGAGTGTGGTCATGATAGTATTTCTTGTTTTATTATCTATTTTATTGATTATTATACAAAGAAAAAGATGAAACTTTTGGCAAACGAAATCTTACTTTATAATTTATTAAACACAAAGAAGTATAGAACAAGTTCTTATATATTAATATAGAATAAACGACGTGCACAAAGAAATTCATGTTTACAGCTGATTCATGTTGTTGAAGTCGTACACATTTTTGTTGGGTCATTCATTGGATTTTGAGCTTATTCAATGTAACTTTTACTTTCCACATCTTCTGTTCTTCATCAAGTATTTTTACTCGATGCTCAGTGAGTCATTGCCTAAGTATTCGAAAAGTCTCTTGCACTGAATTATAGACATTAGTAAATTGTTCGAAACAATTATGTAAGTCATTTCGATGCTTGATCGTATGATCTAAACAATAGTTTTGTCGACATCCTAAAGAAAGTTGAATCTTCGACTGGCAAACTTCTTTGGATGCAAAGAAGAAACATATCTCGGCAAGTGAAAACTCCATTAATATTGTTTACTCCTTCACATTTGACACATGGTGAATTGCATGGACCAGATATCATAGTATCTAAAATAATGTGCGATCACGGTTCTTCAAACAATGGAGTCAAGAGAAAAAGCAAACAAAAATTGGCACACACTCATATAGTGATGAATTGACCCAGCACACATATTGCAGCAGTCAAAAAGAGAAGAATAACACACGAAAAATCATTGGTCCATGAGGCAATAATGCCGATGAACAGAAAGGAAAGAAGTATCCGGTCAAGAGCGACAACCTATCTTACACAACAAGTAGTAAAAAGAAAGCAAAGCAGAATGAACACAGACGAGTATAGCAT